GATGATTAAATGAGCTAACACATATAAAGTCCCTGGTTCAGAGGGTAGTGGTAAACAGATGTAAATTTGTCCCATGCTTCTTTGGGACCAGAAGCATTATGGATTGCATTTTAACTATCTGTTCACATGTCTGCGTACAAAGTAATCCACTTGGTATTAAAGAATATTGTCTTTATCCTGGGATGGCTACCACTGTGATGATTCCTCATCTTTGCTTTCTACTGCAGTAGCCCCTCTTCAGCCCCATACTTCTTTGGAATCCACATTTCCCAATTCGCATTTGCTCTTGTGACAAGTAGATTGAACTTCCTCAGTTTTCAGAGCTGCTCTTCTAGGTCCCTAGGCTCCCAGGAGCACCACTGGTGCCTGTGACTTCCTCATTCTGGAAGCAGAAGCCCCTCCTCCTCTGGGGATAATCATGTGGACCTTGGGTCATGGCTCTATATTTCTCAAAATTAATGTTCCTATATGTGAAAGAAAAATGCAAGGCTGTTGCTTAAATAACTCAAATAGGAAAAAAAAAGCACTAAAATATAAACAATATGTACAATGTGATTTAAATATGTCTTAATAACTAATGTTTGGTTATTTTATATACCATATATCCACAGCTCTAAGAGTTGATGTTGTCTAAAATAAAACTTTGTTTTGGTCTCCTCACTGAAAAATGGAGAATCCTCTTAAAAAAACAAAAGCTCAAGATTGACATTGTTTGATGGAGGGGTAGGGACCTTCTCAGAGAGAGAAGAATTTCTTGACAGAGGTGTTTTGACACAAAGAGAGCACATGTCCTCTGTGTCCACTCTGGGACCTGTAGCCTCCCTGGGGTGGCTACCACTGTGATGATTCCTCATCTTTCCTTTAAAAGAGGAATCTTTTAAATTCAGCCCAGCCCTCCCCTCCACCCAGCTGCTTTTCTTACAAGGATGATAACTAGATTGCCCTTTGGCTATCTGTTCCCTCCTATCTTGTCCAGGGAAATATTTATGAAGCCTGATTGCTATAGTCAGAGTAAAAAGGTTGGTGGATAATTCACATTTCCTTGCTATTCCTATTCCCCTTGTTTTAATGATGTAGAAAGTAAGGTTCAATGAAAGGGATCACTCATCCAAGATTACACAGATAGTGTCAGTCCTGGCCCTGGAATCCACATTTCCCATTTCACAGCTTTTCTAAGCACCACACCTCTGCTTTTTTTGTTTGTTTTGCTTTTTAAAATCATCCTGGGCTGGCTTTTTTTTGTCACCCAGAAGACTTCCAGATGGCTTCTTACTACTTTCTTTTACTCACTGGCTGTGGGTGCAAGGTATACGCATGGAACACAGAAGCCCAGAAGAAATACCATTAAGTCCTCATATGATGTTGTCAGTATATTGTGGAAACTATGATCGTAAGTGAAACAACATGCATTGTTTGTAACATTAATGAGAAAAAAATTGGTTTCTTTTTATGTCATTTCACTTGAAGTAGCAGTTTCTAAGAACCTATTGATGATGTAAAGGACTTACTCTGTTATTGTCTGATAAGCTTAAAATCAGACAATATTCTTTAATACCAAGTGGATTACTTTGTACGCAGACATGTGAACAGATAGTTAAAATGCAATGTGATATTTCTTACACTAGAAGTATATTTACAATGTTGTGGGAACTTAGAAGAGGGACTAATTAACTTATCCTGGAGGAAATTTGCCCTGCTTCTCAAAGGTGGAACATTTGGACAGGTTTGAAGGGGTGAATAGGAGTTTGTATGAAAAGGACAGGAACGATAAAACATTATTTCAGGAACAGAGAACAGCATTTTCATAGACACAGAGTCATGCAAAGGTTTGGTATATTCAAGAGATATTGGCAAAGACATAGGATGTGTGGTATATGAAGCTAGAGATGAGAATAAAGAAGGGCAAGGCCAAATTCAAAGGGCACTGAATGCCAAGCTGAAGATTTTGGCTTTAAGGCTAAGGGAGATAGAGGATGTGTGATGAGGTCTTACCTGAACTATTCAGTTTTTTCTCTTTTCATTCTGCTAATAAGGCTTTCCATTTAATGTTCCATTTGAAGTTTCATTAAATTTGGACATTTAGTAGAAGGGAGTTGGAAGCCGTATGCAAATCACTTTCAACAATTAAAGCAACTTTTTTTTTTTTTGTATTATTGTTGTTGTTGCAGTTGTCATTGTTTACCAGTCCTGGGATGGGCTCAAACCCACCAGGCTCAGTGTATGTGGCTGGCGCCCTAACCACTGAGCTACAGGTGCTGAGCCTAAAGCAGCATGTTTATGAGGAGGGTCTCCCTAGGGCAAGCCAAATGGAAATGAGGGATAGGTGGCGCCTTTGGCTCAGTGGGGAGGGTGCCAGCCCCATATATTGAGGGTGGCAGGTTTGAACCCAGCCCTGGCCAGCTAAAACAGCAGTGGCAATTGCAACAAAAAATAGCCCGGCATTGTGGCAGATGCCTGTAGTCCCAGCTACTTGGGAGGCTGAGGCAAGAGAATCATTTAAACCCAAGGGTTGGAGGTTGCTGTGAGCTGTGACGCCATGGCACTCTACCAAGGGAGACAGAATGAGACTCTGTCTCAAAAAAAAAAAAATAAAAAAAAATAAAAAATAAAAAAAAGAAGTGAGGGACTTTATTCACCTGGATGATGTCATTTGTGAAGAGCATCTTTGTTTACTTCTGGTCACAATTCTTTTGTTTGTTTGTTTTGTTTAGAAGGCCATGGCCAGGTTCAAACCTGCCTGCCCCTTGCACAGGGCTGGCACTCTAACCATTGAGCTACTGGCACCCAGCCTGGCCACTATTCTTGTCATTGACATCCATGGCTCTGTGAAGACTGATAGAGTTTTTCTTTTTTTGCTCAAGAGAGTGCGGTGGGAAGAGTGTTTTATTATTTGAGAGACAGTTGCCAAGGCTGGAGTGCAGCAGCTCGATCATAGTTCACTGTGACCTCAGATTTCTGTGCTCAAGCAATTTTCCCATCTTCCTCCCAAGTAGCTGGGACTACAGGAACACACCATCACTCCTGGATAATTTTTATGTTTTTTGTGGAGTTAGGGTCTTGCTATGTTGCCCAGGCTGATCTCCAACTCCTGGCCTCAATGAGCCTCCTGCTTGGTCTGAAAAAGTTCTGGGATTATAGGGCACCTGGCCTAAACCATTATTTTAAATGATTTTGTGGATTTTGATTTTTCCAGGTATATAAGTTAGCTTTTGCTGCATAATAAACCACCCCAAACATAGTAGTTAAAACAGCTAAACTTTATTTAGCTTATAATTCTACAGGTTGTTAGGCTAGGCTGGGATTCCTATGGTGGTTTTGGTTTGGGCTGGGCTGGCCTATCTTGGTTGTGTTCAGTACTATGTCTGTGTTTAACTGGTGGGTTAGTTGAGGTTAGCTGGTTTGTGATGGTTTCAGGTGGGATGCCTGAGACAGCTGATGCCTCTCTCTGCATGCTCTCTACTCTCTCAGCACTCTGAATCCTTGGTTAGATTTTTCACATGACAGTCTTAGAGTTCTAAGAGCAAAGGCAGAATTATATAGCCACTTGTTGTCTAGACTTGGAATTTGCTGATGTCACTTGCTGCTGCATTCTGTTGCCAAAGCAAGTCACAAGGCCAGCTTAGATTCAAAGGGTAAAGACTCCTGCTGGTGGTATTGCAAAGGTATGGTTATAGAGAGGGGAAGAATTTGTGGTATTTTTTTTTTCAGTCAACTACGCAGACTATCTAACTTATCACCAGAAAGAGTTGATAATTGAGGTTATCACCTTATGAATGAGTCTTGAGAAATCTTTTGAATTCAAAGTCTGCATTCATAGAGGACCGTGCACTTTCTCAGGTATTATCTCATTTAATCCTCACAACTACTCTTATTTTCCCTTTCCATTTTACAGAAGAAGAAACTGGGGCAGAGAGGAATTAAGTGAGATTGAATTACTTGCCCATTATGTGACTTGCCATTGGGTGGCAAATCTGGTATTTGGACTTAACATCTGTCACCTGCAAATCTAGAGCAACTGCTATTGTATCATTCTTCTCTATTTTGATGAGGTAAGGCAGAGAAATTGTAGTGTTACTGCTATATTCACTGCCATAGTAGACCTCTTTCTAGGTCTTCCTCAACCCTGGATGTAGGTACCTTGCTCCACTCAAGAGGCTCATTTCTTTGTTCCCTGTGGGGTGACTACTATTGGGGTGGGCCTGAAGAATCGCAGTAGTCTCCAAGATGGCAGTATCATGCCACTGATATAGCTCAGAGGCCCAGCAGGCTGAGGAATGTGTCAGAGAATGTTGCATTTTTCCAGGGAGAGGGAATAAGGTGTTCATAGGTGAAACACACATATATAAGGTTTACCCAACAGGGACCAGGTGGAGATAGCCCAGCCATAGATCTCTGAGCCCTGGGGACAGAGTGATTGGTATTGGCTGTAACGAGAGGAAAATACCTCCTAGATGAGCAGGTAGGGAGGCCTTGTCTTTCTGGGAGATTTTCATTTATCCTGCATGACTGGAGCCGTGCCCTGGCTAAACTAACTCAGAATCTTGGCCAGTGATGGGAGGTGGGCTTTCAGGGATTTGGAATGAGGAATGGGAACAGCAGGAATGCCCCTAATTGTCAGAACCAGAGCAGGGTTTGTCTTCTAGTAGCATTATTTATGGGGATGGGAAAAAGATAGGGCCAGGTAAATAAAAAGATGTAAGAAGACCAGATTGTTTGTAGGGCAGGCCCCTAATAGGATGGTCATGTTCAGGGCATCTACATGGTGAATGTAGGCTATGACATCACACATAGCTCATTTTGGCATGAATAGGGTATTGCTATTTAGTGTATTACAAAGCTCTGTGTCTAGGCCTCATATATAATCTGCCACGTTGCTCTGACTCTATTGTCTTTCTTTCCCTGCAGAGCTTACCTCCCGTCCTGGATGTAAATGAGTATATATTTCTAGCAATGTAACTGAACATTTTTTAATGCAGTGCACTCCTACTGGGCAACCCAAGATGGCCAGGGTAAGTCAGAACAAGGAAAGAAGCAGCTGATCCTTTTCAGAAACCTGTGAGTCCTCTGTACATCAGTTTGTCTATTCATTCATCACTCTGACTTGTTATTCCCTTATTTTTCCCAATCATCAACAATCCATCCATCCTTCTATCTAGAAGAAAATAAAAATGTTTGAGTTGTGGAATACAAAGAGGGGGTTTTCTATTAAGTGAAAATAATAGGTTGTCTTTTTTTTTTAATGTTAATACTTTGAGCAGAAGGTGAATGTTATTATCTTAAAGTATGTGAAGAATCACTGAGTGTGTCTAGGTATTTTTTTCTTTTTTATAGTTTTTACTGAAAAATACCAGTACTGGCTTTTATTTCCTTTTCTATATCCCCCCCCCCCCGAGTTGAAATTCACACACTAGCCTGGATTAAATGGGCATGTTAATCTTGCCTGTATTTAACAACTATAAGATTTTTTGTGAAATTTTACATCATTTACTGACTGGTAACCCTCTGTCCCTTTCTCCACTAAGGTAGCTTTTCACTACACTGTATTCATTCACTAATTTACTTACTTGTTCCTGTATCTAAGTCTTATTGAGTATCTGACATGTGCCAGGCTCTGGGCTGGGTTCTAGGGAAATAGATTCATGTACTCTACCTTCAGGAAGTTGATAGTTTAATTAGTAAAATTTCCAGAATCCGCATCATTTTAGCAGCCTGTATGATTCAGGCACACAGAGGCCAAATTTTTCCAAATCTTCTCTCCTCATTATGTTTTATATTAGCCCTGGCAAGATATTTGCTAACTAAATAAATGAACATTTGGACTAAGAGAAGCCTAGGTACTCTCAGATCAGGCAGACCCCAGGTGTGGAAACACAGCTGTGAAAGTTAGTTTGTACTTGCTCTTCTTTAATGGTATTTGATCATCTTTCTGTGTACTCCCACATCTGGGGCTTTCTTCTCTCTGAAGGCATGTTGAATTTTCTGCTTTTGCCTGTACTTTCCCTCTATTATAACAATTTCTTCCCTTGTCTGCCTGATGAACCTACTTGTCATTCAATATCCAACTCAAATGTTACCTCTATATGAAAACTTTCCTGGCCACTCCTAAGCTGAGTTCCTGGAAATCTCCCTTTGCTTTCTTAGTACTTGTTATATCCTTTTATCTTAGTACTTGTTTATCCTTTTATCATCCTTTCCAGGCTGTGCATATATTTTTACTTATTTATTTTGAGACAGAGTCTTACTCTGTCGCCCTGGGTAGAGTGCTGTGGCATCATAGCTCACAGCAGCCTCAAACTGGGCTTGAGCAGTCCTCTTGCCTTAGCCTCCTGAGTAGCTGGGACTACAGGCATCTGCCACAATGCCTGGCTAGTTTTTCTATTTTTTAGTAGAGACAGGGTCTCACTCTTCCTTAAGTTGCTCTCAGATTCCTGATCTCAAGAAATCTGCCCACCTTGACCTCTCAGGCTGCTAGGATAACAGACATGAGCCACTGTACCTGGCCCAGGCTGTGCATATCTTGAGGTCAGATCCTTGGCTTATTCATCTATGTAGCCTCAGTTTTAGCACTGGATTTGTATGAATAGCTCCCAAAGCAGCCACTGTCCTTTTAGTCACAAAGGACTTTCCTTTATAAGCCTTTACATATTACCAGACAGCTCCTTAGGATAGACTATACTCCAGAATACTGCAGGAACAGACATACAGGACTGCAGTCCTTAGAGCATTTGTCACTTGTAGAGGCAGGTCCAAATGAGGATATTATCAGTAATTCCAGAACTCTCTGCTTCCAGAACTGCTCTGAGTGCAAAGAGAAAAGGGCAGCACACATCCTCTGCACCTACTGCAACCGCTGGCTGTGTAGCTCTTGCACAGAGGAGCACCGGCATGGCCCTGCCTCTGGGGGCCTGCTCTTTTCCCGGGCCCAAAAGGGATCTCCAGGTATCAATTGCCCCCCTCCCCACCTACTCCCGTGCCATAAAGCAATGCTAAACCCTAAACTCCCTGGAGCATAACTCTTTGAGCTTGTTTCTTGCTGGGGGAGAAGATAGAGGTGGTCTCAGAGACTTTCTTAAAAAAGGAAGTCTCCTTCAGAATCAAAGGGGTGACTCATTCTAGTCTCTCTCTTTTGGGGATGGGGTAGGTGAGTGTGGGTGAGATGGTACAGGGAGGAATAGTCTTGAATTATCATGGAAGCTAGCTGAGTTCCCTACCTTTCACCTCTATTTAGAGCAATCATATCTCACTTCTACTTGGTTACATGATTAACTTGACAGTCTGGACCAGACCTTATCCATTTGTCCATTCAGCACCATTTATTTTAAATGATAGTCTTCTTGAAAGTCTTTTCCCAAGGCCCCTTGAATTGTGGGTGGGGTTTTACATTGTCAGACCTACAGGAACCAGAGTTCGCAGTTCATTAGATCCAGCCTGGAGCCTGGAAAAGCTGAATAGCCAGTTTTAGCCTCGTAATAATAGAACCCTGATTAATGAAGAAGTTTAGGTTAATTTTTAAGAATTCATTATTCTTCAAGAGATTCACATGCAGCAGTATCAAGTACCTTCCTCAGCTTCTGGCAGGTGGAGGGATGCTGGGGCTTGACAGAGTGCTATTTCTAGTCAGCTGGGCAAATCCAGTGAAACTAAGCCTGAATTTCTCCTTGTGGCCCTGGTTAGGCATATCCTTTTTGCACATCCTCCCCTAAGCTCTGTATCTCTGTGGTGTCCACTGAAGGCCAAGAGCCACTCAGCAAAACTTAACTGAGAGGTTAACCTGAGCAAGAGAAGCCCACTTTCTCCATCTTCTCTGGCAGGGGTGAACAATGGTTCTGGGGAGTTCGCCTTGTACTGTCCTCTACATACGCAAGAAGTACTCAAGCTGTTCTGCGAGACCTGTGACGTGCTCACATGCCATAGCTGCCTAATGGTAGAACACAAAGAACACAGGTGGGGCTGGAAGGCTGCCTGGAAGGGGGCTTGGGAGGGCTCTGGACTCCTTACTTGTGAGAGCTCTGGGATCAAAATCCTGAGCATCAAAATCCTCTTCCTGCCCAAGCCAACCTGTAGCCCCAGGGTTGAAGTTTTTCTCTGTTCTTGTTGTAGGGCTTCACTCGAAAAGTCCTACTGGGCCAAGAACCTGCAGTGCGTTTGACTTTCCTGGATGTAATCATAGCCTTCATGGTCCTGGCTGAGACAGTGCACTGTGAGGACTTTGGTTGGCTGGCATGTTTAGAATAGGAATCAGCCCTCCTTAGCTTTTTCTCTGCCTCATCCCCTAGGTGCAGACATGTTGAAGAAGTTTTGCAAAACCAGAGGATGCTTCTGGAAAGTGTGACAACACAGGTGGCACATAAGAAATCCAGTCTACAGACATCTGCAAAGCAAATTGAAGACAGGTAGCACAAGCTAGAGCCTTGCCAGTGCTGGAAATGCTCTGTTCTCTCACATCCTGGTTCCAATACCAGGCTATCAGACGTAGTGTCTATGAAGAAGACATGTGATTAAGCAATGTGGGCATATATCCTAGGAGGCATATGTCCTGGTGTTAAAGGTCTCAGAGACAGTGAGGGGTCTTTGGATCATCACCTTGTGACTGAGGCCAAGCGAGGTCAGGATGATCAGAGTGAATCTGGGCCAAAGAATAAACTTATGGACTGCCTAGAAGTAGGTGCTTGAGAAAAAGGGTACAGAGTAGGTACTAGGGAAGAGAGTGCTGTTTATTATGAGAGAATAGCAAGTCAGTGGCAATCTGCCCTTTATTACCCTTTTACCAATGTTTTCTGTACTAATCTACAAATGATATAATGATATAACATAAGAAGAGGAATTAGTAGGTACTGAGACCTCATCATGTCTCAGGCACTGAGTCGGGCATCATATGTGCATTATTTTGTTCAATTCTTATAATTTTTTCATCCAGGGATTATCTCCCATTTTACTGATGAGGAAATTGAGGTTCAGAGAGGTTATGTGACTTACCTGAGATCACACAGCTAGTCCGTGAATGATTTGGGCTTGGAAGGTTGGTTTATAGTGACTTCAAAGCCCATGTTCTTTTTTAAAACAACTTCACTGAGTTATAACTCACATACCATAGAATCACCCTTTTGAAATGTACAATTCATTGGCTTTTAGTATTTTCACAGAATTGTACAACCATACATAATCATTGTCTACTTTTAGAACATTTTTATCACCCCCAAAAGAAACCCCATGTACATTATTAGTCACTCCCCTTTCTCCCCCCTAGGACCTCCTACTCCTCAGAAACCACTAGTCTGCTTTCTGTCTCTGCCCATGCTCTTTTTTACCTCATGTCACTATTTATTAAAATGTCCTCCTTTTTAATACAGAAAATTATGTGAAAGCATACCCATAGTCTTTCTCTTGGTCTCCAGTGCTGTGCCAACCAGTGAGCTACTAGGTTTACCTAGAGAAAACCAAGTTCACCTTTGGGCCATTTGCCCTCTTAAATCAAGTAGGCTTGGTTTTGAGTGGGTGGGTGGTGGAGGAAGGTTCTCTCTTTATTTTGTATCTGGTGGGGTATGATCTTAATAGGCAGCCTCCGAGTTTGGGTCTTGTGTTTCTCAGCCCTTATAGACTATAAGGGAAGGACTCACCATATTTTGTCCCATCATGTTTGCAGGATTTTTGAAGTGAAGCATCAGCATAGGAAGGTGGAAAACCAGATCAAAATGGCCAAGATGGTTCTGATGAATGAGCTGAACAAACAGGCCAATGGGCTCATAGAAGAGCTGGAGGTATACATGGACAGATGGATCAGATGAAGGGGTTCTATGGTCTCATTGGTTCATAAGCCAGGCACATATCAAACTCGTCCCAGGGCCCAGAATGTCCTGAGCTAGAATCCAGATATGTAGTTTCTATAGCTCTTTGCTTCTCCCTGTATCTCAAAATGCCCAACCTAATTTGGGAGGGTAGCTCGTTAAGGGCTGGAAAATCACTTCTCACTCTCATCATGCTGTGTCTCTTAGGCAGTTACCATCCTGGACTGTGCAGGATAATAGTCTAGGAAGAGAGACTCACAAAACAATCCACCTTCTTCACCAAGTTATGCCCAAGTCATGTAGACATTAATTCGTTTCCTCATTAGTTTATTACCCATTTCATATTTATTTGTAATATAGTCTCTCCCACCATCTCTATTTCCATTCTTCTGTCTGCCAGTATCCCATGGCAGCACCCTATCCTGATGTCCTCTCAGGGGTGTAGTCTCATCTGATTCCATTAGTGGTCACACTGACACAGATAGGCCACCAGACTTCCCAAGCAGTAGGACAATAGTCCAAGAACAGAATCAGGGATTCTGTCTTCTCTTTATGTCTAGGGCATTACAAATGAGAGAAAGCAGAAGCTGGAACAACAGTTACAGAGCATCATGGTTCTCAACCGTCAGTTTGAGCATGTGCAGAATTTCATCAACTGGGCTGTCTGCAGCAAGACCAGCATCCCTTTCCTTTTCAGCAAAGAGCTGGTAAGAGGAACCTCCAATTCCTTAGCCTGTCCTTGAAGCTGATCAGAGTACCACTACCTTTGCTTATCGGGGCAGTGAGGCTGTCTTTGGAAGTACTTTTTGTTGCTGTTGTTCTATAAGAAAGTAGCTCTATCTATCCTTCAAATTCAATTACTGGCTTCTGCTTTGGGTTAGTAAATAAGTACCATCTTTTACCAAACCCCAATAGTACAAAGGACCCAGGTGCTGAGACAATCTTACCCCAGGTAACTCAGCTGGGAAAGTCTGTAGTTCTTTGTCTTAGGTCATGGATTCAGGTATTATCCTGGACATAAACACCATGCTGGAAGTTCCATAGAGAGTTACTGGGGTCTAAATGGGAAGCTAAGAGAAGGGAGGAATTGAAGATACTGTTGAAGTGTTAGGCTTAGGAGGATGTTGATGCCCAGGAGAAGAAGCATCTTCTGGGCCTGCCTGTTCCCAGAACATGGATATAATGCACCATAAGTTTGAGCTGGAGGAAATGCAGAAGGACTTAGAGCTTCGCCTTCAGGCTCAACAGCACAGCCTGCAGTTGAGTCAGAGGAAATCTCCTCAGCATCTTCAGCAAACTATTGTGGAGTAGATCAACTACAGAAGGAGCAAGAATTTTGAGATAAGCTGATGGAGTTTATATCTGGATACATTGAATCTAAGATACCTGTAGGGAATCCAAAAGGAGATTTCCAAAAACTGTTTTGAGATATGGGTCTGGAAGTAAGAAGAAAAGTCAAGGTGGAATGTAGAGATGTATGAGTCCTTGGGATATCAGTGATGTCACTTTGATGAGTGTGTGGAAGAAGAACTGGGCAAATCAAGAATCCAGGGAATACCATCATCTTCAGTTAGAAGATGAGTGAAGGAGAGTGAGAACAATGGTCTGAGGTTGAAGGAGAAATAGAATGTGGTGCACAGAAATTAACAGGGTGCATTCAAGTTTTAAGTGCTCAACGCTGTCAATGCTACCTAGGTAAAAGGATGACTAGTGAAGTGAAGCCTTGAGATCTGGGAATCAGGTGAACTTTTGAAAGAAGTTTTACCAACGTAGAAGGTTCAAAAGCCAGAATGAGGAGAATGAGGATGAGAGGTGAGGAGCCAGAGACAGAAGTAAAAAGAATGTGAAAAGAAAGGAAGCATCTTGAGAAGGAGGCAGAGTTGGGGAAGACTATTTTTTAAGTTTGGAAAACATTTGCACACATTTCTGTGTGAGAAGAGTTTGAAGATAGCAGGGATGTGTGGTGGAGTGAGCATAGTGGGAAGGCAGGAAGAGGTAGGATCTAGAGTGAACTGGTTGACTTTTAGACACAAGGATGCTCCCTTCATCTGAGATGGGAGAACAGGACAGGGGCAATATAATGTAGTTAAGTTTGAAGGTACGAAAGATACAGCTTTGGAGCAGTTTGTCCTTTATCATTTCTTTTTTTCTCTGTGAAGTAGAGGAGATGATAAAAGAGTTAAATATTGGGTGGTGCCTGTGGCTCAGTGAGTAGGGTGCTGGCTCCAATACTGATCAAAGGTGGTGGGTTCGAATCGAGCCCCTGCCAAATTGCAACAAAAATGTAGCCAGGCATTGTGGTGAACACCTGTAGTCCCAGCTACTCTGGAGGCTGAGGCAAGAGAATTGCCTAAGCCCAAGAGCTGGAGGTTTCTGTGAGCTGTGATGCCACGGCATTCTACTGAGGGCAACAAAATAAGACTCTGTTTCTAAAAAAAAAAAAAAGGGTTGAATATTGATAAGTGGCACCAGAGTGAAGATTGTAAATAGTCATTGAGGACAGTAGAAGAGGACAGTGACAAGGAAAAGGGCTGAGAGTTGCTGCTGAAATTATGACTACTGAAGTACCCCTAAATTACATGGCTTTGGGCTGGCTAGATTGACGTAAGGTTAGGAATTGGTGAGCGGGAGGGAATTAGGACACTAATGATATTATTACTGAAAATGATGGGAAGCTGAGAGACCCAATGGACTGAAAGAGCTGAGCTTAGAGAATTCATTGGAGTTGAAGAACATGCTCTGAAAGAGTAAGAGCTCATTATGATTGGAGTATGGGTCACTGAAGGTTAAGGGTCTCATGGGTAAAATGGTCTAGATGATGAATAGGGTCAAAGTATGGTAACAGAGGTGAAGCTGATTTTTCTATTTTTTTGAGGCAGAGTCTCACTCTGTTGCCTATGCTAGAGTGCCATGGCATCAACTTAGTTCATAGCAACTTCAAACTCTTGGGCTCCTCCTGGGTAGCTGGACTACAGATGCCCAGCACAATGCATAGCTAATTTTTCTATTTTTAGTAGAGACAGGGTCTTATTCTTTGCTGGTCTATGCTGGTCTATGCTGGTCTTATTCTTTGCTGGTCTATGCTGGTCTATGCTGGTCTTGAACTCCTGAGCTCAAGCGATCCTCTGCCTCAGTCTCCCAGAGTGCTAGGATTACAGATGTGAGCTACCACACCCTTCTAGGTGAAGGTGTTTGACATTAAAGAGATCAAGGAAATGATAGGCAAGATGTTGGTTGGGACATTAGTTAACTAGAGGAGGGCAGGGTAAATTGGACCCTTGCCAAAATCTAGATTAAAAGTGAGTGATGGGAATAGATGAAAGAGATGAGTGGGGGAAGAGGGAAATTGAGTAGGATGGAAGGATAGTAATGGGAGCTCAGAGAATGTCTGCTCTCTGTAGGTTTTTAAATTGAAGTGATGGTAGAATGGATGGAGCTGCCAGGCAGTGAGGGAGAATTACAAATCACTTAAGGACTGGAAGAGATAAGAATGTAGGGGTTCCAGAATCCTTGATGAGAGGAAGCAGATCTACTGGGAGAATGGGAATGTACTAAGGTACAAGGGAATGAGAATATAGGGGAGGATCAGAGGCTAAAGAGCTCTGACTTTGAGCTTTTCAATTTGTCCAAAGAGTGAGAGAAAGGAAATTGTCATTCAGGCACAAGATGCATGAATAAATGACCTTTGGTGCTATTGTCAGATTGTGTTTCAGATGCAGAGATTGCTGGAAACAAGTTGTAATACAGATCCTGGCTCCCCTTGGAGTATCAGATTCACATGGGAACCTAACTTCTGGACCAAGCAACTGGCTTCCCTTGGTGAGCCAGGGCCCACCCTGTGGGCTTTGACCTAATTTCTAGGAATGAATATAGAGCATATGCTTAGCTTGCTGGGTAGGTCAGCATATGTCCAAGAAAAGGCACACTCTGAGGCTGCCAGTGGTCATTGAGTCATTCAGCAAACCTTTTTTTTTTTTTGTGGGGTCTGGGGAGGGTGGGAAAGTTAAATAACAATGGCAGTATAGGACTTTGTGTTAGGACCAATTGAAATGAGTTTAAACATTCTGCACAAATATACCTTTTACCTTGATTTCATTGCTGAAGAGGAGATGAGACAGTGCCCCTGCTCTCCAGAATGCAGGCAAATGTATGTCTCAGGAGGTATACAGGGTATATGTGTATGGGCATAAGCAGAGGTATCTCAACCGCAGTAAGATCATGTGCACATGTGTATGTGTGCGTGTGTTGTGTGTGTGTATGTTTTACACACATCTGTCAGAACTGAGATGTAAGCAGGTAATTCATGACTTCATGCTTTTTTCTTCCCTGCTGCAATAATTTGCTAGCATTCAGTCTTAGGCAGACTATGGACAACCTGAAGTTGTGACTGTATTGACAGACTAATGAGTTTGTTAAATTGATGGCCAACTGCTGCCCTCATTTAAGGCTGTTACTCTTGTTGAAGGGGTTTTGAACTTGGCAAAGTGATCACTGGTATTTAGGTATTTTTTGCTTCCCTCCCCCTGCTTTTTTTTTGTTTGTTTTGTTTTGTTTTTTTGAGACATAGTCTCACTCTGTTGCAGGGGTAGAGTGCTGTGACCTCATAGCTCACAGCAACCTCAAACTCTTGGGCTCAAGTGATCCTTCTGCCTTAGCCTCCCGAGTAGCTGGGACTACAGGCCCCTGCCATAATGCCTGGCTAGTTTTTCTATTTTTTAGTAGAGATGGGGTCTCACTCTTGCTCAGGCTGGTCTTGAACTCCTGAGCTCAAGCGTTCCACCTGTCTCAGCCTCTCAGAGTGCTAGGATTACAGGAATGAGCCACCACGCCTGGCCTCCCTCTCCCCCTTTGATATACTTCAGCAGACCTTTGGTGGCCACCTGCTCTGGCACTAAAAGACCAAAGGTGAGTAAAACACACTCCTTGCCCTTGAGGTGCTTAGTCTTCCTCTAAGTAAGCTTCATCAAAACAGTGAAATGAGGGGGCTGTTAGACTGAGCTAGCAGTGGGTCTACTCATGTACAAGGGGCCCAAAGAGCATAGAAGGCAGTGCTGGTGCCTGGCACTAACCTGTGATTAGGATTTCCCCACTCTTCTTCCACCTTATTTGTTGATACAGTGCTCCACACCTGTATCTGCAGACTTGCTCCTTGGTCCCAAGAATGACTCTCTACCCTTTGCTACTGTCTAGCACACTCCTTCCTCACCACCAATGTTGATCCTTTTTCTCAGAGCCTGTTCTTTTCTGTTAAAAAAAAAAAAAAGGAGTAGTACAGAAACAGAGTCAGGCTAAGCATCTGGTAGATGTTAGGCTAATTTCTCAAATATTCTGAGCCCCAGAGCAGGTCCACACTGGTGGAATCATTATAGACAGAGTCTTGGCGATCAGGATTTGAATTTTATAATGTCTATGTCCTTTGGTCCTAGGAGCAGGAAGCAGCTAGGGGGGAGATACTGCTGATTACTTTTTGAAAAACTCTATTCTGAATTTCCAGGCTGTATAACAACTGAAGGTGGACAACTATCTCGAGCAGATACTCCTGCTTACGGAGGCTTACAGGGGCCATCATCCTTTTATCAAAACCACCAATCTCCAGTGGCTCAGCAAGAGGCTCTTAGCCACCCCTCACATAAGTTCCAGTCTCCAACACTATGCTCCACGTCTGTGTGCTGTTCCCACTGCTCCCCTGTGTCACCTTCCTTTAAAGGCCAGGTCCCACCACCCAGCATACACCCAGCCCACAGCTTTAGGCAGACCTCTGAGATGGTGCCCCAACAGCTGGGCCCACTGCAGTGCTCCACCCTACTGCCCAGGGAGAAGGAGCTGGCCTGTAGTCCTCATCCACCAAAGCTACTACAGCCCTGGCTGGAAACCCAGCCCCCTGTGGAGCAGGAGAGCACATCCCAGAGGCTGGGGCAGCAGCTGACTTCCCAGCCTGTGTGCATCGTCCCTCCACAGGATGTTCAGCAAGGATCCCATGCCCAGCCCACCTTACAGACACCCTCTATCCAAGTTCAGTTTGGCCACCAGCAGAAGCTGAAGCTCAGTCACTTTCAGCAGCAGCCACAGCAGCAGCTGCCACCTCCACTGCCCCCACCACCTCCTCCCCCACAGCAGCCACCCCCACCTCTGCCTCCATCGCAGCATCTGGCTTCTAGTCAGCAGGAGAGCTCTTCTGGGCCTGCCTGTTCCCAGAACATGGATATAATGCACCACAAATTTGAGCTGGAGGAAATGCAGAAGGACTTAGAGCTTCTCCTTCAGGCTCAACAGCCCAGCCTGCAGTTGAGTCAGACCAAATCTCCTCAGCATCTTCAGCAAACTATTGTGGGGCAGATCAACTATATCGTGAGGCAGCCAGCACCTGTCCAGTCCCAGAGCCAGGAAGAGACACCACAGGTAAGCCTCAGAGTGGCTTGGGGCAGGTACTTATTCTGCCCATCCTAGGATTGTTCAGGCGACAGCATCTTCAGTCACACAGTGGCACAGGAATACAGCCTCTTCATCTTAGGGTGGCTTTGCTCAGCCCTCACATTTCAAAACTACCCTGTTCCCATAATACCTAGTCCCACCACAGATGTAGGCTCAGTACTTTTCAGAGTCACCTGGCTTAGCCCTGCTTTCTTGGATGATACTAAAGACCTTGTCCATGGATGGTACTTTCTGAGCTATGCTGGACTCCTGCCAGTGCCAGCACAGAGGGGAGGCTATCTCTTATACTTTTTGTGTGTGTGCATGACAGAGTTGCACTCTGTCTGGGTAGAGCACAGTGGCATCATCAGTTGCCTCCTGCCTCAACCTCTTGAATAATTGGGACCACAGGTGCATGCCAAGACGCCCCACTAATTTTTGTATTTTTAGTAGATACAGGGTTTCACTCTTGTTCAAGCAGATCTCAAAATCCTGACCTCAAGTGATATTGGTCTCCCAGAGTGCTAGAATTATAGGTATGAGCATCCTGCTGGGCCTGCTATCTCTTATGTTTGTAACCTTCCCAACTTGCTTCTGGAAACTTGTGAATTCTAAATAAGGGAAAGGGCAGAACTTAAGGAGTCATGTGAGGGTATGTGTTAGATGCTACTGGGCAACACTTTTATTACACTGCACAGATACAGACTTAAACTTTATTTCACATCTATTAAGCTAGGTGTGTTCTTTATGCTTTGTATCATTGATCCTACCAACAATGCTGTTTGGTAGTCATTACTATTTGTGATTTGTAGGTACAGAAGTGGGGGTTAGAAAGGGTAAGTAGTTTGCCTATAGATTCTACAATATTGAGAGGTAGAGCTAGTGCTTGGATCCAGATCTGACTTTTCTATAATGCTGCAGAAGAGGGATTATTTTTTTCTTAGGGGTATGTAGAATGCTGCTCTTTTTTCTTAGCAAAAAGACAATCAAAGAAGGGAAGTTTGTACCTCTGGGATCTTTGCTGCATCCCACATCTTCTTTCTTAGCTCCTGCTTTTCTTTTTTTCCAGGACCTCCTGTTCTAGCCTCTTCTCCATATCTTTTCTCATTTTTTCTGTGGTGCCATCTCCTTTAATTCTCTGATCACATTTATATCTTCAAAGGAGCTCTATAAAATTTTATTACAAAACGTAAGTCCTCACATTGTGCTTCAGCACTAACAACTTCAGGTCTTGCTTCAAATATCTTCTCCTGAGACTCCGTTCCTTTGAGGATATATAGAATATTCCCCGTGATGGTAGAAAAGGACTTAAGGGTCTAGGGTTCATAGAGGACCACAAGCTAAAATGAATATGACAGAATTAGCTCAGAATTCTCAGTTTGGGTTCTATTTTGACTGTCATGTTAGGATTTAGTCTTAGGAGAGTTTAGATAAAGAATATTTTTCTTCCTAAAAAGTTTTTGAGCAATTCACATGTGTAGGTGGTGACAATGGGCAGGGTAGATACCAGCCTTTGCTCTTGCTGCTGTTACTACTCTCTGCATAAGAAAATCAAGTTGATATTTTCTTTTCCAGGCTACAGATGAGTCCCCAGCATCTGAGTGCCCAAAGCCAGCTCTCCCTTTGGATAAGAATACTGCTGCTGCCTTGCCCCAAGTATCCGGGGAAGAACCCCCTCTCAATGTCCCCCCAGTGGACAGCACCATCCAGCACTCCTCTCCGAATGTGGTGAGAAAGGTACTAATGGATCCTGTTTTCCCTGACCACATGGGACCCACTGCCAACCAAGACACCAGGCACCTGGATGAGGATGATAGGGTAGGGGGAGATATGTCCCTGTTCCATCCCTGGATGCTACACAGCCCTGACTCATGCCTCCTGTCTTAATGGGTCAGCAAAATACATCCTCCTCAACCCCCATTCCTATTCCCATATACACATTTAAAATGCGGCCTACTGGGTTTCATTTGTAAGGGGAAGAAAGCCAATTTATTGAACACTTGCTCTGTGCTTGGAACTCTGTATGGTGCTTTGCAAACATCACCTCACTTAATCTTCCCAACAATTGTGTGAGGTGAGCATCCATTTTGAATAGCTTAGGAAACTGAAATCCAGAGCCCTATAGCTAGTACAAGAAAGAGCTGAGGAATCTGTTATAGAGTCCAAAGCCTGAACTTTTCCTTCTGTATTGAATATGGGGAATATATTTTGGGTAGCCCCCAAATCCAAAGTTGGTTGACTTTAGAATTTGAATCAATTGAATTTATGGGTGAGTGGTCTTCAGGGATGGTCTACAGAAGTAAATGAGCATCTGAGTCCCCCCTACCAGGTCTAGTCCCATTTCTGCCCTTCTAGCTGGAGTCTTAGTACTGTGTCATGCCCTCTACCTACAGCTTCTCATGTCCTTTGGCCGTGTTTACTCTATTGCCTTCTCTGCCCTGGTGTCCTCTGTCCTGCCCGTGCCTCCATTCAAACCTGGACTTGAAGCTCTATCAGATATTCTGTTCCCCCCTCCAGCCTATACCCTTAGCCCTACAATATCCCTCTGGCCCTGAAGCCCTAGCTATTCTAGTTGTTCGGTGTACCTAAATCTTGCTACACCCAGAAGAAGTACCATTGCCACATATATCTTAGTCAGTTTCACTGACATTTGAGGAGAATTTGCACAGGGAAAGGATAACAAAAGTGAAATGTTAATTTGGAAATTCCTGGTGATTCTTGAAGCTTTGCTTTGTGCCTGTCCTGTCCTATCCTGTTAAATGGTTAGGTCTAGAGGTCTTAGAGGCACTATAAATGGCCTTTTGTGGCTTGTAGGTGTTTGCTTTCTTATATTTGCACCAACTACCATCAGCTTATTTGTTCATTCAATATTGAAAGATATATACATATATAAATCTTTCAATGTGTGGCACACATTCTGCTAAGGGCCAAGCACACCTTGGTGGATAAGATAGTCTCACATTGGAGCTTATAGTCTAGTAGAATAGATAGTTAAATAAGCCACAACAGTAAATTGTGATAAAGTCTGTGATAGTCATTGGAGGGTACCCAGTGCAGCACCTAACTCTGGGAAAGGGGGCTGTTGACAGACTTCCTGAGGGACATGATTTTAAGCTGAGATTTGAAGCAGGAGAAATTGGGTTAATGAGAACGGGGAAGGAGGAGAATAAATAGAGGGAATGGCAACTACGAAGGCCTCCAGAAGTAAGTGAAGGCCTAGGGTACTTAGGGGGCTTCAGGTAATTTGCCTTGGTAGGAACATAAGATCCATTGAGTAATGGGAGTGATTGAAACCAGAGAGGTTGGAATGCCCAGTCAATTATGTTCTGGAGCTGGGATTCAGTCTTCCAGGCTGTGATAGATGAATGAAGATTTCCATCTAGTATGGACATGGTTTGATTAATTTGAATGGCCACTTTAGCTGTTGGAAGGGATACCAGAATAGTATAAAGGAGAAATAGGAGGTTGAGTGACATCGGTAATGATGGGCGTGAAGAAGAGGCAAGGAGTTCAAGAGTTAATCAGATCACAGGATTTTTGGCCTCAGTGACTTATTGAAGTGAGGCAAAGAAGGTCATTTTGCTTAACACCCAAATCAGTTTTGCCCATAGAATGAGAGCATGTGAAAAAAGAGCATATATGGGCTTGGTGCCTATAGCTCAGCAGCTAGGGCGCCACACACATACACTGGAGCTGAGGGGTTTAAAACCAGCCCAGGCCTACCAAACAACAATGACAACTACAGCAAAAAATAGCCAGGCATTGTGGTGGGCACCTGTAGTCCCAGCTACTTGGGAAGCTGAGGCAAGAGACTCGCTTAAGCCCAAGACTTGAGGTTTCTGTGAGCTGTGACACCATGGCACTCTACTGAGGGTGACATAGTGAAACTCCTGTCTCAAAAAAAAAAAAAAAAAAAAAAAAAAAAAAGAAAAAGAAAAAGAAAAGAAAAGAAAAAGAGCATATTTGGGGGGAGAAGTTAAGTTTTGAATTATTGATGTTCTTCTGTGAAGATACTTTAGAAGATGACTAGAAGGCGGCTACCTTAGTAGTTTAGAAGGAAGTGTGAGAATTGCCAGTGCCCAAGTGTTGGGGAAACCATGCAGAAAATGCTGTTGCTCATTTGATCAGGCTTAGTTCTATTCCTAAGTACAGTACAGAGGACAGGAGGTGAGCCACATGCGAGCATGGATTCTGTGCTGCCTGTGTGAGTGGCTGGCAGGGCTCTCACACCAAGGGGATGCTGCCACCTCTATGGCTTCAGCATTTTTAGTAAAGGTCCTAGGAACTTCTCATTTTGAGCTGCTCCTGGCCCTTACTAACTAGGACTCATGCAGAGGTTTGGAGGGGCAGATACCATGGTGTTTTTCACATGTTTCATAGGCTTTTTTATGGCTTGGGCTCCCATTAAAAGGACCCTCAAGATTGTCATCCTGGCTTAGAGGAACCTATCAACCCTGACACAGAAGGGCTCTGGTACACAAAACTGCAGTGAGGAAAAGGGCTTTCTTTTCTGAGAGAATTCCTTACCATGGAGCTAGGGTTGGGCAGGGTGGAGGGTGTGAAACTGGAGGATACCAGACAACATTTTGAGCATCTTACCATTTGTATGGTATTTTTATACTTTTATTCATGGGTTTTTACATGAATTATTCCATTTTATCTCTTTGTTTATCCTAGCAATACTATGAAGAAGCCACTTTCTTATTCCCCTTTGAAAGATGTGGAAACTGAGACACAGAGAGGTTAAGAGACCACCTAAGAGTTATACACAGCTGACCCTGGGCAATGTTAGGACCAGAGCACAGGTCCCTGACTCAACCCTGTGTTCAATAACTAGGTCAAATTGCCTCTTTTTCTGCACTGCAGTGGGAAAAATAGAATCCCATTTGGCCTCTCAATCCTCTCAATCCTCACTTTTGCTGGATTTTCCTGAAGTAGCCTAAGGCCCTGCTGGAGAGAGGTCTTAGAACCCAGCCTATTTTGGTCTGAGTTATCTTTGTCTGGTAAAGGTGTTTTGGCTTTCAGCCCATTCAGCCTAAGCTGCCTGTGAGTGCCGGGAAGGTCAAGAGTCTATCTGAAGTTCACAGAGCAGAGGAACCTGTAGCTCCAGGTACCTTTCTGTGTGTTCCCCACTGACTCATATCACAAAAGGAGGACTTTCAGTAAAGCAGAGCATCTGTGCATGCATACCTTGGAGTTGATGGTGAAAATGTCTTTCTGCTGAAAATGAGATGTTAAAGCTCTAGAATTGACTTTCTAGTGGCCTGAGCTCTGTAATCTCAGGAGCAGCTTATCCCATCACTTTCCTTGCATCCAGAAGGATGAATTTTGGCATTTGTCTGGCACTACCTGTGACTAAGCTTCCTAATCTTGATTCTGCCACTCTGAAGAATGACTACAGTTACAACTCTGCGACAACCAGCCTTACATAGTGAAACTGGAAGACATTTTATGGCTTCATACTTCTGAACTAGTCAACTCCTTAAAAATACGATAGTCTCCTCAAAGGTCTCACGGAGTCAAAGCTATGGGCATGGCAGAAAGCCCTATCCAAGTCCTAGTTCACCTGAAAGAGGGAGCTTTCTTCTACTGCTCATAATGTAGCCCCAGGTCTTCAATAGAGGACTTTGAGACCACCAGGATGCTGCACATGGTTTAAGAGGAGTCTGGGATGTATTTCCAGTAAATGATACAGAAGCAGTAGGTATTCCTGTGATTTGGATCATTAAGAGTGGTGCAGAGGAGTAAACGACTCAGGCGGATAGCATTTTGCCATTATCAAAGCACTTTGATGCCCAAATTCTTAATTTGAGTCATGTAACAACTCAATGAGATTTACAATAACCTGTGCAGAAGGAAATTAAAGCTTAGAGATGGAAAATTACTTGCTTAAACTCAACTCTAAACCCTTGCATATGTGAAGAAATACATCTGCTAAGTATCCTGCCTTAATGGTTTCCAAATCTACTACTGCTGACCAGATCAGGGGTTCTCAACCTCAGCAATGATCTTTTCCTCATAGCCTGGCCCTGATAGCAATTTTCTTCAGAATGTTTCTAGGGCCTGGTGAGGCTTTTGTTTGTTTGTGTTTTGATTTTTTGAGACAGGGTCTCACTATATTTCCCTGGCTGGAGTACAGTGGTATCATCTTAGCTTATTGCAACCCCAAACTCCTGAGCTCAAGCAATCTTCCTGCCTTAACCTCCTGAATGGCTGGGGACACTAGGACTATAGGTGTGCACCACCGTGCCCAGCTATTTTTTAATTTTCTGCAGAGATGGTGTCCTGCCATGTTGCTCAGGCTGGTCTTGAACTCCTAATGTCAAACTATCCTCTTGTCTTGGTCTCCCAAAGTGCTAGGATTATAGGCATGAGCCATGGTGCCTGACCTGGTGAGACTTTCTAAAGGCACACCCTGTGTTCTGGTTAGCATCTCCAGAACAATACACACTGTTCTACTCAGGAATCAATCCAAACACTGCCCAGGTCTGGCTTCCTGAATTTAGTACCCTTTAGGAAGCCTGTCTCCTTAGATGTATACTGGTTTCATTCACACACCAATCTATGATGTTTGTCTGAGTCTCTTGGCCCTTGAGAAAACAGATCCTTGCTCCTAGACCTTATGTTTCCTACACTGGCTTGGACAAAATACCTCTGACCTAATTCTCCTGCACCTCTAAGGCTCTGGTTGAGGGTTCCACTCATCTGACTTTCACTGCAGACTTAACTAGAATTCA